CTTCACTAAGTCAGCACTAACAGTTGGTGGGCCGATTTCCCTCCTGTGCTCGTCTATGATCCAATTGGGAGATTTGCCCTGATCCATGTTCGGGAATACGGAAGCAAAAAACTCATTGAAGAGCTCAGCTTTGTCCCTCCTATCTGTCACTAATTGCCCTAGTCTGCCCTGTAGGGATCCTATTTTACCCTACGTCTTCTTTTTTGCTCCCTATATACCTGTAGAAGGACTTTGTGTTGTCTTTAATTTTTGTCGCCAGCCTAAGTTCCATTGCAGCTTTGGCCTTTCTAATCGACTCCCTGGAAGTGCAAGCCAAGTAGGTATACTCCTCCTTGGTAGCTACACCCTGCTTCCACAGCCTGTATGCCTCCCCTAGGCTTTCCTGGATTTCCCTGTTCAACGAAGAGGGTTTTTTGGCCCCTTTGCCCTCTTTCATGGGATTGTCTCTTTCTGCACCCAAAGGATTGCTCCCTTTAGGAATGACCACCCTTCCTGGACTGCCATCTCACCAGTGCTCCTGATCATCAGTGCCTCGCTAACTAATCTCTTGAGCATACTGAAGTTTCTAAAATCTAAGCACTTCTGCCCTACTGGTTGTCTTTCCCACCCTTCACCAGATAAGGTGGCAGGGGTGGGGTGAGAGCAAGTTATAAGCCTTGACTTCAGCATAGCTTCTGACACCATCTCCCATAACATTCTCATTAACAAGCTAAGGAAATACAGACTATATGAAAGTACTGTAAAACGGAAACGTAACTGAATCATCATGCTCAGCAAGTAGTCATCAACAGCTCAATGCCTAGTTGGGAGAAGATATCAAGTGGGGTTCCCCAGGGCTCTGTCCTAGGCCTGGTACTGTTCAACATCTTCATTAATGATTTGGATGATGGTACTGATAGATCATGGCATTGAATGCATGCTTAGCAAACGTGTGGATAACATCAATTTGGGTGCAGTTGTATACATTCTGGAGAGTTGGGCCAGAATCCAGAAGAATCCTAGAGAAACAGGGCTGAAAAGGGACCTTCAAATGTCATCTAGTCCAACCCCCGGCCTGAGGCAGGATCATTCCTATCCAAAACATCCGATACAACCTATCATCTAAAAACTCTATATAAGACTATTGTCATCCCTGACACAAGACAGACCTAACACCCTGACCTGCCACAGGTAAAGCAGGAGAACCACAGCAGCCAATGTCCTGCTTCTATAAAGTGCTCTATGTGCTCAAGAAACCCCAGGTAGGGGGGCCATGCCCCTGCTACAGAAGGCAAAAATCTCCACAATCCATACCAATTTGACCATGGGGTAAAATTCCTTCCTAACCCTTAGTACAGTGAACAGTCTGACTTTGAGAGGAGCGGGAAGACCTTCTAGCCAGGAACCTCCTGCTTTGGTCCCAACAGGAGCACTGGCACACCCCAGTCAAAGTCCCCAGCCTTGGCTGTAGCCAACACCCAATGCCTCAGAGAGGCTTAAAAACACCCCAACATGTAGCAGGAAGGGAGGGCAAGGGCAACCAGCAAAACTCAGAAGCATGGAAAATACGTATAGTAGAACATAGGCATAGCTACACCTAGATCATCCCTGACCAGTGGCTGTCCAACCTCTTCTTGAACACCTCCAGTGACAGAGAATCCACAACTTCCCCAGGCAGTCTCTTCCACTGCCTTACTATTCTCACAGTGAAGATGTTTTCCTGGATATCCAATCTAAATTTACTTTGCTGCAACTTCAAGCTGTTGTTTCTCTTCTCTGCAACAAGAGATAGAAGGTGCTTTCCCTCTTCTTCATGGCAGCCCTTCAAGTATCTGGAGGTTGCTATCTTGTCGCCTCTTAAGTAATTTTCCCCCCTAGCTGAACATGCCTAGCTCCTTCAGCCTGTCCTCATATGACTTGCTTTCCAAGCCTTTGATCATCTTTGTTGCCTGTCTCTGGAGCCTCTCTAACTTCTCCATGTCCTTTCAAAAATGTGGAGCCCAGAACTGCACACAGTGCTCCAGATGAAGCCTAACCAGGGCCAAACAGAGAGGCACTATCACCTCCCATGTCTTGCACCTAATGCTTCTATTGAAGCATTCCAGAACTGCATTCAACTTTGTGCAGCTGCATCATACTACAGACTGATACGGAGTCTGTGGTCTACCAAGACTCCTAAGTCCTTTTCCATAGTGTTGCCAGTCCATAGTGTTGCATTTGTCCTCTTTGAACTTCATCCTGTTAGCTCTAGCCCAACTTTCCTATCTGTTAAGATCTTTCTGAATTGCACTTGCATCCTCCAACATATTTGCAGTTCTCCGTTTTGTGTCATCTGCAAACTTGCTAAAGAAGTTTTCTATGCCAAATTGTTAATAAACACGCTCAATAGCACAAGGCCAAGGATAGACCCCTGTGGGACTCCACTTGAAACCTCCTGCCACTCTGACATGAACCCACTAATAATTACTCTTTACTTGCAGCTATTGAGCCAGTTACCTATGCATCTTGTAGTAGTTTTACCTAGCCAACATTTCTCCAATTTGTTTGTAAGAAGGTTGTGCCATCAAAAGCCTTGCTGAAGTTGATACACTGTATTTGAGTATTCCCTTCTTCCACCCAAATAATTACTTGTCAAAGATCAGGTTTGTTTGACATTATTTGTTTTTCATAAATCCATGCTGGCTGCTTGTCAGCCTTTTCGCCAGCAGATGCTTGCAAACAGCCTTCCTTAGGATATGTTTCAGTAACTTCCCAGTTCCCTGGGTCCTCCTTTTGACCTTTTTTAAAAAAAGAGAGCCACTATGGTGACACTTTTCCAGTCCTCTGGTACCTGGCCCATCTCCCACGACTTCATGAAAATCATCGCCAAGGGCTCCAAGATCTCCTCTGCCAGTTCCCCCAGGGCGCTGGAATGAAGTTCATCTGGCCCCGCTGACTTGAATTCATTCAGACCCAACAAAAGCTCTCTGACGATCTCTTTTATTACCACCTCCCTCAGCATACCCTCTTCCTTATCTAAATAGTCCTTATTAGGTATCTGGCTGCAGCTTAATTTTCTGGGGAAGACTGAGGCAAAATAGCTGTTGAGTAGATCCACCTTAATTGCATCTTTGGTTATGAGTTTCCTCTGGCTTCTTAACAGAAGACCCACAGCTTCCTTGGTCCTTCTTTTCTGGCCAACATACTTCTAGAACCTCTTCTCATTCTCCTTAACCTCCTTTGCCAGGTGCAGCTCATTCTTTAAGCTGGATAGACTGGAGAAATGGTCCAAATCAATCTGATAAGATTCAAAAAGAACAAGTCCAAAGTCCTGCACTTGGGATAGAATAGCTGCATGCTCAAATACAGACTGGGAAATGACTGGTTAGGCTGCAGTACTGTAGAAAAGGACCGGGAGGTGACAGTAATCCATAAATTTATTATGAGCCAACAGTGTGCTCTTGCTGCAAAAAGGCATACTGGGTTATATTAATAGGTGTGTCATGAAAATCAAAGGAAACAATTCTTCCATTCTATTTGGCACTGGTGAGACTTTACCTGGAGCGTTGTGTCCAGTTTTGGGCCCCACACTTCACGAAGGATGTTGATGGATTGGAGAGACTCCAGCAAAGAGCAGCAACAATAATTAGAGGCCTGTAAAGCAAGACTTATGCGGAAAGCCTGAAAGAGCTAGGTTTATTTATTCTAGAGAAGACTGAAGGCGGATTTGATAACAGTCTTCAAATACCTGAAGGGCAAATACAGATAAGAGGGAGATGGGCTTTTCTCTGTGGCCTCAAGATGCATCAGAGAAAAATTTAGGTTGGGGATTAGAAGCAACCTTCTAACTATGGGGGTGATCAATCACTGGAACAAGCTACCTAGAGAAACTGTGGCATCTTCATTCTTGGAAAAATGTCAAAAGTGGGCCAGACAGACACTTGGCTGGGATGGCTTAGTCAGGGACAATTCTGCCTTGAGCAGGGGGCTGGATTAAATAACCTCATGAGGCTCCTTCCAACCCTACTTTCCTATGACCTTGTGATATGATGTCCATATTGTTCTAGACAGCTCCACTGAAATAATGCCTTGCACCAAAATAGCTTCAAACTGTTAATATAATATTATCATTAACGTGTCCTTTATTCCATCAGAGCCAGTTAAGGGTGGCATGTTAGTGAATTAAACTTAACCAGGCCTCTGCACTGCAAGTTCAGCATATAATTATTGCCATTTAACAATAGGGAAACTGAGCGTGCACGCCTCCAAATGATTTAAATCCCATATCGAGGATGATACAAAGAGAGATGTAAACAATTAGAAGCATGGACACCTCTTACTTGAGGAAGTGTCCCTGTGTTCTGCTACTGGCATAATCATGACTGCATGCTTACAAGCACGAGGGGCAGTCCTCACCAGCACGGGTGAAGCCCACACCACCCCCCCCGCCAGCACATGCAGGCCTCCGTCACTGGGCCTGTAGGAGAATTCCATTAGTCACGCTAAACACTACGGCTGTGCAAAGCTTCGGTCGCCGATTCAATTTGGAGGACATTTGACCCGATTCAGCGGCTGAAACTCCAAATCTGAATTGAACCAGGAACCCCATTAATCTCTCCAAATCAAATCAGAAGCCTCCGATGCGATTCAGAGAGATCTGATGATTCAGCCATAGACACAGCTTTAAATGTTTTTTCTAAATACCTCGAGATACCAGGCGGCTCGTGAATGCTACGACACTGGGGCGGATGGAGCGTCCTATAGCAGCACGAGGGTATCCCCCGCACGCTCATCGGTGGACCTGAAAGTGGACCTTAAGTACTTCCAGTCCAACCGCCAAGTGCACGGGGGACCCCCCCCCCATGTGCTCCTGTGGGACGCTCCATCCACCCCAGCATTGCAGCTTTCATGAGCTGCGCCCAGTACCTCGAGGTATGTAGAAAAAACATATAAAGCTGCGTCTATGGCCGAATCGCTGATTCTCCAAATCAGAATCGAATCTTCGGATTCAGCCAAATTGAATAGGGACAGTGATCTGAATCAGCTAATCAAATTGCTGTCCCCCGAATTGGGCCAAATTTGAATCCAAATCAAATACTGCCTGCTTCGCCCACCCCTACTAAACACACTGACACCAACAGCTAAAGGAGCTGTGATCACAAACTAAACCAGCAAAGTATTCTGGGATCACTAAGGATTTATGTGAATTGCATGGGAGGATCTGTTTGGGACACAACATTATAGGTAATACATAGGCAACTGTCAATCCTCTGGATCATGATGTACGGGATCTAGTCAGGTGCCTGCTGAATCCACTTGCGGCTGACAAGCCCAATTTGAGAGCAACACAGGTTGTTACAAGTTTCACAGATCTATGCATTGTCCGAGTTGGAGTCCAAGTTTACAACACGCTTCTTTCTTGCTTTGCTTCCATTTTCTGGATCCAACTTGCTTCACGTTGAGCTGCCTCCAGTGCCAGATGGTCCCTCCAGACTGGATGGAATTCTGCACGATCCTTCCAGCTTTCTACACTGAAGTTGAATGGCTTCATATAACTTTTGCACATGTCATGGTACTGCCATAAAAGACAACCCTGCTTTCTAGAGTTAGCTCAAATTTCATTGTACAAAATATTCTTTGGGATACACTTCTCCCATTCTCCTGACATGGCCAAGCCATTGCAACTTCCTCTGCTTGATAGTGGTTTCTAAGTGTGTCGGTCCTGTGTGCTCCAGTACCTGTTTGGCATTTTGTGGTCCCACTTTATTTTCAGGACACAGCATTATGGTGCAACATAAATGGGATTTTAACTGCATTCCAAAATGCATAAGCTTTTGTAAGCAGCAGCTTACTTTGTCATTTAGCATCTGATGAGATAAGCTGTTGCTTATAAAAACCGATGCATCTCTGAATTAGTTGGGCTAGAAGATGCAATGCTGTCCTGCCTTCTGCCTGGCCTCATACTAACAGCTAACTACTCTTTGCATTCCCAAAGTGCGTTAATCATGGACATGCCAAATAAAAAGAAAAGGACATGTATAAATGCTTGGAATTTTTGGGAACCCAATTAAGGTCCTAGTTAAACCAAAAAGTGGAACTGTAATGGGGTTTTGGAGTCCCCTGACGTGGAACTGCTTACAGCACAACTAGATGTTCACATCACCTGCAATGAATGTATTGGCTACTAGAGTCTTCTGCAACATTGTTTTATTCATTTACTTATTTCCAGTTATACCAACAAAGGGAATTTTTTAGTATGGGGTTGGTCTACAAAGTTTCTCACTGATTTAGAAATTGTTCAATGAAAATGCCAACCAACTCCCAAAAACACTTTTCCTGTGTTTTGGAATTATTCATTTCTCTTACCTCTGACTGCTCAGTTATGCTTCTTGGATGAGCAGGGCTAAAGCTGGTTCATGCAGTGATTTTCCACCTTTACCATACTATGCCCCGTGATGTCACAACCAAAATAAATTTGGGGACCCTCCTCCCGTCTACCTATCATACAGGTAGTTGTGACTAGTCCAGATCTGTTTGAGAAAGTAAGAGTTAGTATATTTCATAATGCATCCTACATATGTGCAAAGGGATGGATTTGATGACCTTTAATGTCCTTTCTAATATTATGACTGAATGCATTTTACAGGCATTCATCTTTGTAGTCACAAACATAATACTGATTCCAAACACTGCAGTAACCATTGTATACTGTAGTGCTCTGGACTTGCTGTAGAATAAATAGCCCCCTTCAGTAGATACCGGAAGGCCATGGTATATTCAAATTCTTTAAAAATAAGGAAAACTGTTTTTTTTTAAATTTTATAGCACTCTGTATGATAGAAGGTGACGTGGCTAAGAAATTCTGACCTTTGCATTCTACTCTTATAAACAATATTCATTTGAGTGAATTATTTTCAAATCCTTTTGATAAGCTACACTGCAGTAAAAGTCTGAACATTATGAAAAGCACACAAGACAAAAAAAATGGAAAAATAAAGAAAGATGAAGGTCAGCATCAGCATTCGATTAGAGTTAATAGCATTTACCAGGGACTGTGACTTTGGTATTTTCTACAGCTATATCTGTCATTTTTCTGGGTTTTATAGAACATTTTTATATAGCTGTTTTGCATTTGGCTTTTAGTTTTAATGTTTTCTGTTCATTAAATCACAAAACTAATAAAAACTAAATGATCAAAATTTCTACAGCAGTGCAGGAACAGTACTAATATACAGTGTTATAATTTAATAAGCATCTTGATTGACTATTAAAGTACACATTAGGATCAGAACTGTAATTCCAAAGATGAGGCTGTCTGAAAGCTTCATTTACTATGGTAGAGAATAGCAGCTGCTGCTGCAACTCGGCAAGATTAGCTTTTTAAAATCTGCTCTAAGATGACAGATGTAAACTAAACTAAGGACACGTAGGTTCAGACTCCTCACTGTGGAATTCAATTAATTTTGAGGTTTTACCAGCAACTTGGAACAGGGAAGAATAATACTTGTCCAGTTCTGGTGCTTTTAGATGCAAGTGGACATGTCTAGATTTAGCTACCTGTTGGAGTAATGTTATAGCTGTAATGGTCTAGGAATTATGCAAGAGACAAAGTTTTTTGTGGGCATCTCTTATTGGAAACTGCACGGTTAGGATAAAGTTAGACCAGCTTTCTTATCCCAACTATGCAGTTTATCCAATAAAAGATATGACTCTCAAAATCCTCGTCTCATAGATTTAGCTACGTAAGTAAAGGAAGCCTGAAAGGAAGCCTGGAAACACCAGGTTTTATTATTATTTGAACTTGAGTGGGGGCTGCTAACCCAAGTATGTACCTAAGGCTGCTTGTACACGCCACAGGGGTTTACTTCAGTTTAATTCTCCCTAAATTGAACTGGTGGGTTTTTAAAAACGCGGCTTCAATTTAGGGAGAATTAAACTGAAGTAAACCCCTGTGGTGTGTACACAAGGGTTGGGCCCAATCCTTACCTGCCTCTCCGGTGACTGGGGAGGGAGGGGGCAGCTGCTGGCAGGCCAAGCGGTCCCTGAGCTATTGGGGGGCAGCTGGTGTGCAGCCATGGAGGGAAGCACTGACCCCCCGCCCCCCACACACAGCTGTGGCGGCAAGCACCGGGACCCCACACAGCTCAGGAAGGCAGGCTCCGGGAAGAGGGAAAGAAAAAAAAAAAAATAGGCTCGCCGCTATTTTTTTCTGTCCCTTCTTCCGTGCACTTTTTTTTTTCCTTGAGTGAAACCTGCCTGCACAGCCCCTGAGCTGCCCAGGGCCCAGTGCTTCCTGCTGTGGCTGTTGCACTTTGTTAGGTAGCAAACTAAAACACCTCGGAGGCGTTTTATTTTGTTACATCCCAAAGTCATTTAATGCGCAATATGCCACCGACAGCGTAAACAGCAGCACCATTAAGTGGAGCAAAAGGGCATTTAAGCTGCTTTAAAGGCCAATTTTGTGGCATGTACAAAGGCCCAAAGATCCCAGGTGGACTCATGCAGCTCAGGTTGAAGCCTGTGGTGCCAAGGTTTGCTGCTATCAGAAATAAGCTAGCAAGACCGAAATGGGCTGGTGTAAAGCTATAGGGTTGCAATCATATCACTTGATTGTAATACAGACACTCCCTCACCCTCCCCAAAATGATTATTCTTCCCAACCCTTTGGAGGACATTTACAAGCAGTCAAGCAGTTATAAAAGCATTATGCAGTCTATATTTGCATTTCTCACCATCACCCAGGTTCCACTTTCATGGTAACATGGTCAGGATCCTACTAGCTTTCAAGCCCTCCAGGAAGAGAAGGGTAACCAAGACCTGGGTTTCTAGCAGAAACAAAAATGAAACAAAGGCAGAAAAAATTGACAAATCATGTTGGACTTCTTTATACAACATAGTAAAACTGAAAAAGGACCATTTTTCCTTTATTCAGGTCATTTTTACTGCAAGCTGGTATAGAGACATTAAAAGAATATACATCACCTCCCCCGCTTTGTTGCTAGTGGCTACTGAATTTCCCATTTTATTGTCAGAGATCTTTTAGCATTCTTGTTTATATTTGATTAAACATTTAAAATTAGTGTCCCCAGAGACATTTAATTATTGAATGTGCTTTATGCAATGGTGTCTACTTATGCAAATGAGATCATCATGTTCCATTTGAATAAATGGCTGCATCTACAAGATTCTTAAAATAAAGTGTTGTTTTTCATTGCTTTTTTCTCTATCTAAAAAAATTGGTTTTAAGATGCTTATTTTAAAGAGGTAGACACTTTGAGGATCCTTCCAGGATCTGGTCCTAAATAATCCTCTGTCCTGTGCACAGTGGGTTTTTTTTTTTTTTTTTTTTTTTTTTTTTTAAACTTTACTGCCTTCTGGCTTTGAGTTAGAAACTGCATTTAGCAAAACAAAAACATAAGACCTGTGACATTCAAATGACAATGTTCCTTGCAAGATTAGTTGCGACAGCTCTATTATCATCACCTAAGTAATCACCCCCTGGGGCTTTGTGGTGCATTTAGAAGTAATATCCATATCAATTCTGATTAATCATGCACTTTCACCTTAAAGCAACCAGGAAGTGCTTAAGAATATAAATCCACCTCTTAAGACAGCCCAATTGTTTTGTCCACCTTTTCAAAACAAGAGAAGCTTTGTTAGCAGCTGCATCTCAGCAGCTGCAGGAGAAACAATTTCTTGGAAAGGCCACTAAGCAAGATTCTTACAAAAATATTTATTAGTATGACATCTTGATTGTTGAGATTTTCATTCACAACAATGTGAATGAAACGGCCTTCTTCCAAAAACTCTTAACTTTGTGGGTAATTTTATACCCATTAAAGCCATCTTAAGCCAGCATGAAATGTTCCTTTCAGAAATGACTGGCCAAATAACTAGCATAGCAAGAAACAATACTATTAAACAATGCTCCTGCTCCAATCTATTACAGGCCTGAAATATAACAGCTCTAACAAGCATTTACACAAATAGATTCTTTTTAAGGAGCTCAAAGTGGTCTAGTGACATGCTTGCGAGATAACTAATTGTTAAGTAGATAATAAAAACTGACAAAAACAGTTCAAAGTGACTTGTCCAAGATCAGAAAGCAGATTATTAAGAGCCCCGAGCCTCACTGTCTCATCCAGTAAAACATTTGTTTTTTTTTGCAAAGCATGAAATGCAAAATGACAGAAGTCACCTCTGATTTAGGTGCCTTCAAAAGATCTGAACTGCAGAACCCAAAATTTCAATATACATCAATGGGATCATGCTTACCATTTCTACGGACAGGGCCCATCTGTCCCTAGTATCTTAATCTGAGCATATGAAACTTGAGGATGTGAAACTTGAGACACCTGAAGTCAGGTGCAAGTTTTCTAAAGCAGCCTATTCCTACCACTATTGAAATCAACGGGCATTTTGCCAAAGATGTCAGTGAGAACACCACTGAAACTTTAAGCCACTCCCTGATGAACAAGAAAGGTTCGAACACTAATGATTATAACAAACTTTATTTAAATTATTACTTAAAAAACTTTTTCTTGCTGATGGCCCCTGGACTAATTTCTTAAGAGTTACAGCAATCACATATTTTCTTCCTTCCCAGTCTGAATTTTAGGGAGTTAATCCTAGAGTCTGGTAAACCCATTTGAAGCAGTTCATTGAAACATACTGAGCTCTATGCAGCAAGAAACTGATACGGTGTGCAAGTTTCACTCCTTCTGGAAGGTTATAGAGCACAGCTAAACCAATCAGATCCTCTTGGAACATTCAGTGACAAACGAGGTCCAATTATACCGCTTAATGCTTTGTCAGAGAAGACTTGTAACTTTCAGGTGAAGAGCGTTCCAGATGGGATACTGATCAAGGAAGTCCCACGTAGACATTTTACAGCAGGAGAGAACAGCTGACTTATGGATAAAAAGAACAAAAAAAAAAAATTAAAAAAAAAATAAAAAAATCACAAAATCTATTGTTCCAAGTAAAAGGAAGAGAGACTTCCAGGCAGTCAATTGACCCACAGGTCTGACATGCAGGCAAGAGATATATAAAAGGTGGTTACCTTGGACATAACGGCTTAGAAAACCTGTTTGTGGGGCGACAGCAACCATTATCACCACCACCATGATTATTATTAAAAAAATAAAAATAATAATAAAAAAAAAAAAATCAGGAAGGATTTTTCTTCCTTCAACCTGTATTTTAAGTAGAAATCAAAAAAGTTCATGCACTTATACAAGAGCAATAAAAAAAATTAAATATTTATTTGAATAACAAGCTTAAGTTCAAGCTGCAATGTTGGCAATGTAGATTTTTAAACACAGATCACAAAAGCGTGCACAAAAATGTATTTGAGCAAAGAACAAAATAATACTAAGAATTATACTAAACAGCTGCTGATTTTAAAGAAACAAAAATGGCTGGTAATCACTATACAAAATATAAAATGTATTAAACACTACCATCCACAGAACAGAGGTTTATTTTAGATTGATTATATTTAAAAAAAAAAAATGTGTAGTTAATTATATAGTGAATTGTAAATGAATATTATACAGTAATCCCCTTTTGGTCTGCTATACCTTGTTGCACTATAGCACATCCAATCACATTGCAAGAAAAGAGCAATTATTTTTCTCCTTACTATCAATAAAAAAACAATTATTGATAATACAGTAAATATTGTCAGGTCTACAAATAATGAAATTAAAAATGTCTCCTTCAACTCTGAAGCGCTTTCCATGCAAAGTCAGCACTTGTTCGTTTAACAGAGTGTGCTACCAAGCAGTGACCAGGGATGTAGATGCTCTTGGGTAAGACTAAACTTTACAAAACAAAGATTGAATTAATCATGCAACCCTCTCACTACTGGGTATAACCCAATGTGTCACTTCTCAATTTATTGCCTCTTCGGAATATCATTCAAGGCATCCGAAATTAGACTTATAATGATAAATATACATACAATGAAAGGACACAAACTGCTATTTGACACTACTACTGGTAATGTCTGTGCTACGTGAAAGCACCTTTAAAAAAAGCCTATGCGGCAAGAGATAAGTGTCTAAAGATTCAAAATGAATCAACAGTATTGGATAACAATATATTTCTCAACTCAGAAGCTGCCTCAAGATTAGGTGCATCTTCAGTTAATGTAACAGGAAAAAAAGGCAATGGATTTTATTTTATTAATTGTATCCACTCAAACTGACCTAAGGCCACCAGATGTGCAGACACAATGCGTTTCTTTTTTTTTTTCTTTTTACAGTTCTTTAAATTGTAGGATGATAAAGGAATAGATCTATTTAAAAACAAAACAAATTGCTATTTTGCCTAGATTAAGAAGTGGCACCAGGTGTTGGGTTCACGTTTTGAGTGGCCACTTGCGGTGCAACTTCAATGATTCGTGGTTTATCTATAATTCTGGCAGTGCGGTTCCCCTTCTCTACGATCCCAATGATCCATGCTTGGTGACCCTCGCCGTACTTGGGAGATTTGATCTCAGCACAGAAACGTGCAGCCTGTTCACGTGGCAAACAGATGAGGAGGCCTCCTGAAAAGCAAAGGAATAAGCACGTTAGCTTCTCATTACATTTCTGCACCAAAATATTTTAGAGCCTGATCTTGCAATCTGTATATAGACTTCACTATGTTCTTTCAGAATAAGGAGAGCCACCTGCATGACCAAAGGCCAAGAGAGCAAGCCTTACAAGGAGAGGCTGAGGGACATGGGACTCTTCAACCTGGAGAAGCGGAGGCTGAGGGGGGGACTTGCTGGCTGGGGGGGGGACTTGGTGGCAGCCTATAAGTACATAAGGGGGGGTGCACCAGGATCTGGGAGAACAGTTGTTCATCAGTGCTCCCCAAGGGATAACAAGGTCTAATGGCCATAAGCTTCTGGAAGGCCATTTTAGACTGGACATACGGAAAAACTTCTTTACGGTCCGAGTGTCCGGGGTCTGGAACAGACTTCCCCCAGAGGTGATGTAAGCACCTACTCTGGACTCATTCAAATGGCATCCAAATGCTTATCTTTCAGGGGTCATTTGACCCCAGCAGACTTCCTACCTAAGGCAGGGGGTCGGACTCGATGATCTTACGAGGTTCCTTCCAGCCCCTAATATCTATGAATCTATTAAAAGGTCCAAGGGTCTCATTTCGTAGGAGGAAATCCCCTGTGTTGCTAAATTCAAAAACTTGCACTCTGTTCAAACACTAGTGGAGAAATAACATGATACGGATAGCAAAAGGTCTGCTGAAACACAATAGGGGCATTGCAAAACAATAGAATACAGTAACTCAACTCTGCCCAAAATTATATAAAATTATTGTGAAAAGGGCCATATTCCAAATCCAATCACAATATTTTCTTCCACAAAATAGATTCATAGATGTTAGGGTCGGAAGGGACCTCAATAGATCATCGAGTCCAACCCCCTGCATAGGC